ATTTCTGATCTATCAACGAGAGATGTTAATTGATAAACATTATTATCAATAGGAAAAACTATCGAGAAAAGTTTGATGAACAATCATCAATTCGTTATTCGGCGAATTAAAATCCACCTTTCGATCGATTCGAAAGAATTTCTGTAGGATAACATTTACAACGTTTACCAACCATTTCGGTTGATAAACTATTTACAAGGAAAATTTGTCAATTAGTTTGACGAATGAGGAATAAATCCTTGAAAAAAAGTGGAAGGAACTAATCCTTTTTAATTCTTCGTGCTAATTTTTATCTCTAATTTCTATTTTTTTTTCTTATCTTTTCTTTTATTAACGACTTTTGTTCAACGAGGACTATTTGATATTTATTTCTCTCGAAGCAAAAGCCTATTCGAATGTGTATCCTTTTTTTCGTGACGAGTCACGATGGTCGATAGATTTACTAATTAATAATAATTGTAAGTATAGGATTTGCGGTACAAAGAATCTTTGTTTTACAGTGTAAGTTACGACTTATTTACTATTGTGCAGATAGTTCCTATCTTTTCGTAGTGTCCTTTTTTATTATATTTCTTCTTTTTTTTTTGCTCGTACATCGCACGATATCAAATGTATCCAACGAGAATGACAAAGTTTTCGTGATACAGTTGTTATCGTGCACAGGGGAAACAGTCTTTTATGTTTTAAGAAATGTTTTTTTTTTCAATGATGCGTGCTGTGTGTCGAACAATTCTTATGTACGCTGCTTCATTTTATTTTGACTACTTTTTGCGATTGGATAAGGCAAAGATCGTGCGACGAATTGTAGACATATTTTACGTGAAATTAAATATAAGAGAAAGAAAAAAAATTCGAAATGAAACTAAACAATAAAATATGAAAAGATAAACGTTTGAAGTAGAAAATGAAGATTATTATTTTTTTCTCGGAATGGACGATCGTCGTCCTCATATGTAAATTTTATATTTTCTATGCTTAAATAATTATCGATCAATTTGAATGAGTCATATATATATATATATATATACATAGAAAGATAGAATCGAAAAAAGATTGTTCATTTTGCTTTGATAACAAGAAGATAAATGACAGGACATTTGCATAAGATTAGCAATTTATCTATTTGGGTATCTATCTATCTATCGATCGATCAAGAATCCTCGGTCGTCCCTCTCTTTTTCTCTCTCAATATTTTTTTTTTCTTTATTTTGCTTTCTTTTTTTAAGTTTTTGTCAATTCGTTACGATCGCTTCGACGATCAATCTTTCGTTTTTTTTTCTTTCGTACATACACGTTCGTTCGTTCTTTCGTTCATTCGTTTTTCGTTCGTACGCTCATTCGATCATTCCCAATCTCGTAAAATCATGTACATACTTTTCCTATGCACTCTGCGAAAAAGCTTAACATCGAGAAAAATATGGGGGTATATATTATCTTCTATGTCGATTCAGTCGAATTCGAAATAGATTATATTCGAGTATCAATGCGACATTACACGCAATACGTTTCACAATAATACGCAAAAGAGTGCTTGAGTTTCTCTAAGAAGTCACTTTTCGTTTCACGAGTATAGGCGACACGGTCATTTTCGTTAAACGATTTTTAGAGAAGAAAAAAGCTACAAAAACATTTATTTATAAAAAGAAAAAAAAAGAACAAAAACATTTCATTCATTTTATTTTTTCTTATATGTATAAATGTGTATATTTTTTTTTTATAATTATAATTATGTACAAAACGAACGTGTTAATGTTTCTCGTCGTAAGAGAATTATTTCGAAATTACACAACAAGAAAATCACATAAGGAAGATGACCGAGTCGGCAGATAAACTTTGCGAAACATTAGTTAATAGGCCATAATAATTCCTAGTTGTAAAGTATGAAAAGTATCAACAAATTTGAAAAACTTCTTCATTTGCGTAAATAGGCTCCCTCTTTTTTTTGTTTTAATTATCAATTATCCATTTCTATCTCCTTTTTCTTTCTTTGCGAACCTTAATTAGTCGTTAAATTTTTCTAGGAGTTTTGCCTTTTACAACAACATAAATCGGCCTGCGCAAAGTTTTCTTTTTATACATTATCGTTCCCTTTTTCGGTTCTGCCAATACAAATTTCAACAATTTTATCTAAAAAATTAATATTACTAGAGATAATTGATCTTGTTAAAAATCTGTTACTAATAAACAAACGAGATCAAATGATTTGACGTTCAGAAGGAAACTTTGCGAAAGCCTTTCTTTCTTTTTATCCTCCCTCTTTCCTTCTCCTTTTCTCTCTTCCTCTCTTTTTGTTCTTCTTCTTTGACTAAAGGCGAAGAAATTGATATATAATTTAATTAATAATTGACAGATAACCAATTAATACGTATCGGAGTGGTAAACGTGGCAAGAAGGCGTAAACTTCTATGATTCAAACGACATAAACTTTTCTAATTTTAACATCGCCACGTACCACCCACTTTACATTGATTGTTAATTACTTATCGCAGTATACTTTGTTAACCTATGGTATTCCATCTCTTTTTTTTATTTTTATTTCGTCTCTCTTGTTCTTTTAATTACGATAGAAATGGCATGTGGCTATGTATATATTTATATTCATACTTATATTTATATTTATATTTGTATTTATACTTATACTTATATTTATATTTATATATTTATATTTATATTTATATGTATATTTATATTTATATTTATATTTATATTTATATGTATATATGTATACGTAAATTTTTCTCCTATGCACACACGTACTTGCATCTTTATTCACACACTTATTCACAGTAGATGCATTCGCAAATTTTTCGCACGAATAAAAGAAAAAAGAAAAATAATAAAACTACTCATAATCAGACACACAAAAGAACACTCGTATCTTCTTACATTCTCTTGTATATCTTCTTCTATTCGTTTTAATACATTTAAGATGAATAAGTCTCTCTTCCATAGTATGTGCGTGTGTCTGTATGTTGTTCGATTTTTTTTCATATATATATAATATATATAGAAATTTCATTTAAGCAACTTACATACGGAGTGCATTATTAATTACAGGTTCGATAATTAGATTGGGAATTAAAATTTCGTTATGTTATTACCATTATTATTATTATTATTTATTTATTTATTTATTTATTTATTTATTTATTTATTAATTAAAGAAAAAAGGGGAGAAAAAAGAAAAACACAATAACAAATCCGTCACTTTTATCGATAGCATTGTAATCATAAAACACTCCATGTACATAATTATGTTTAACAGAAGCACGGAACGCGCGCGCGCACGCGTACGCTCGTCAAATCTCTCCGATTATCTCATTTTAAAAAAGAGAAGAAAGGACAGAATTAGTAAGAGAAAGAGAGAGAGAGAGAGAGACAGAGGAAGATATAATAAAGGCAGAAGAATCAAATAAAAAGAAAAGGAAATAACGAGCGACCGTAAACGCAATCGCGTACGCGCTTATTATGATAAAGATTTATTCGAAATCTTAAGTAGTTAACAGTAACATCGGGGTATGAAAAATGTACAGAATGATTTCGTTAGATTTACAATAGACGCTCGACGTTTATCAATCGCCAGACGAATCTAGTTAATTTAAGAAACGATTCGTCCTCATTAATATTTATCTGTCCTTTTGTTTTATACGTATATTAATATATATACATATATTTTTATCTAGATGTCGTACAAGGAATATACAGTATATGTATATATAATGTATACATACATAGATACTTGAAAAATTGAATGCACTTGGCATCGAAGATGCGTGAATATAATAATGAATGAATCTAAATTTTTGTTTCTCCCTAGCTGAAAATGTACGCGATTGTATTAAACGTCAGCGATTTATGTAATTAGTATATATGTATGTACGTATGTATGTATGTAAGAGCGAGATATGCACATAGTGATTTCACAGTTATAAAACTAACTAAAAATCTTACCGAGATACGCCGAGTGACGTCACGTTTTATTTACACAAAAGTATATTACATGCTTATTTTTGTTAGAATAATACGTAAATATGTATATATATATATTCATATATTCATATATTTATATATAAACATATTTATTCGACGATAGTGCGAACGTATCCGATGATTATAATCATACATCGATAATATATCTCGAAAAAGAGTAAAAAGAAGAAAAAAAAGAAGAAAATATTAACAAGAGACAAAAAAATGCACAACAGTGTAAACAATCACACGTTGAGTATTCGTGTTTTTCAACGATAATTCCGTCGATGTTCGAAGCTAAAGAACAACGGTATGATTCCTAGAGCGCAGCCTTTTCTCGAATCAACGATTTTTTTTTTTAAATAATTGATAGACTACCCTGTTTCGTTATCGCTTTATTTATTTCAACAACTTTCGTCAACGGATATATCGTTTGCTACGCTTTAAGGATCAGCCTTTTACTACGTAGATCATCGACGAGGAACGATGACACCCCTCTCCCCCCACCCATTCACCTGTCACATAAACATTTTTTTTCAAATTTTTTTATATCCATTCGAAATTTCTTTTTTGATCGTTTTTATTTTATTTTTATTAATCTATCCTCGCCGACGAGTTACGAATTTGCAATCGCTTCAACGTAGATTAAAAGATATCCAAACGTCGAGAAACCCAAGGAACGAGCTCGGAAATTCCAATTAAAAATTGTTGATTTTTTAATATTTTGGATTGTTTTTTTTTTATTTAAAAAGCGTCAATTTTCTATCGTCATTTGTAATTTTATCTCCCTATTATCATTATTTACTATTATTATTATTTTATTATATTACTATTATTATTATTTTATTATTATAATTATAATTATAATTATTATCAATAATATTAATATTATTTTATATCATTTATATTTTGTATTACTATCGTTATTGTTATCTTCCTTAATCTCCAGGAATATATTTACAAAAAGCCATTCGCCGATTACGAACGTGCTTATTTTTAAACAGAGTTTCGACCCCCCATTATACGTTTTATGTTTTCTTTTCTTTTTTCTTTTTTTTTTTTTTAGCGCCATAGAAGAAACCTAAATAGGCCCTAGGTTTTGTATCGACAAAGGATGCATATTATTTATATATATATATCTATGTATAATATCATAATTATACGTCTAACCAGTTTGTGCTATCTAATTATACAGACGCGACCCGTATTTTGAATACTTCGAGGGGGTACGGAAAGAGAGGCCGATATTTTCGACCTTCGCTCCGCTTTTCGTAGATATAGGGGGGGGGAGGAAGAGAGAGAACGAAGAAAAAAAAGGGCGGGGAAGAGGAGTGTTTTGGTCGATGATTCGGCCATTATTGCAATATCCAAATTCCATGCGAAAACCGATCCTATGTATTGCACTTTTCGTTTATTCCTTTGCTATATGCTGTCTCTCTCTCTTTTTTCCTTTCTCTTTTTGTCTTTCTCTCTCTCTTCTTCCCAACAAAAAAACATCAAAAAGAAAAAAACATAACAAAAAAAAAGCAAACAAAACGTTGGTACGAAGAGGGGAAAGAGGATGGGGGAAAAATAATACAAATCATAAAAAGAACAAACGAAAAAAAAAACAATATAGTTCGACTGATATTAATCCTTTCCCTCGTTTTAGGGGATTCAAAATTCCATTAGTCCGTCGACTATTTAAATCGAAATGGGAGGAAAAGCGCGGCGGCGTCCCGTTGGAATTTTTTTTATTTTTTCATGATTCGGGCGCGAACATTAAATGAAAATTTAATCGGCTTCGAAGGAACGTTCGATTTAGAAAATAACGAAACAGAATAAAAATACTAAACAAAAACCAAAAAATGAATATATATATTTTATATATATGTCTATTTTTAGCAGAGCTTGAATGCACCGAACGACGAAGTATACGGAGTTATATTTTTCTCTTTTTCTCTCTCTCTCTTTTTTGTTTTTTATTCTCTTTTTACTATCTCTGTTTTTTTTTCTTTCTGTTTTTTACGTGTGTACATATTCTTTCATCATGAATCGTGATATTACAAAATGCTCTTTATCCGCTAATTAGTCTTATTCTAAAGAGAGAGAGAGAGAGAGAGAGAGAGAAAGAGCATACGAAATTACGAGATTGTCGTTCCTCGATGTTATCTCGACGTTGTTTATCCACGCTAATTTCGACAAGAATTTCGTCACTTGGAACGAATTCGTTTAAATGCTTAAAGAGGTCAAAAATATGTCAGTAGTGGATTGTCGATACCGAGTGGTCTGTTTTCATCGCATCGAAGAAAATGCAGTGTCTTTTTTACGATATTAATCCGAACCTAACCATCATCGTCCTTTTGCTTACATTACCCACATGTGCTACTTCGAGAATTACCTTCATTTTTCTTCTTCTTCTTGTTATTTCTTTCTTCATTGTCATCGTATTCGAAAAGAAGAACGAAAACACACAGCGTTCGAGTAGAGCATATTAATACGTTCAACGTCAAATAAAACGTTGTTTTTTTTTTTTTGTTAAAAATGATCGAGAGAGAATGGAAAAAACGTCCATCGAAATTCTTTCGTTAAATTCGAATCAAGAATTTGACCTTTTTTGAGGCAGATCGAGAAGTATCGATTTTCAACGTGTGTATATGCTATATTATATATATATACGCGTCTATCTGTTTATATATATATATATATATCCGTTTGTACGTTTCGTTCTCTTTATTTTTCGTCAAGGATTTCTTGAAGAAACGACGACGAGGAGTAACGAAGTCCGATGGGATTACAAGTTGAAATCTTGGTTGATCCTAGGGCGACGATCAAACGACGGTAGAGGTACCTCCGCCGTTCGAGGAGGATCCATCCGTCCAGTCCAAGTGTTGCCGATCGAAAAGTTTCCCCTCGAATCCACCTCCTTGATCGAGAACGTAATTCGGATCTCGACAGTTGCTCGACGCGACGATCCTCTCGAAAGCTCCTTTACTTTTACCGTATCCCAAGGTCCCACTTTTCTCTTCTTTTTCTTCTTCTTGATCGACGTACGTCTTTCTTTTCGTCAATAACCTAGTTGCCGTTCGTGGATGATACTCCAAGAGTTCTTCCTGTATTTTCTCCCTTCTCGTTCTACTTTTTTTTTTCCAATCTCTCGGATAAACTGACGCGGAGGAAGTCGATGCCTCGTAGAAATGATGATGTTGGAACGTCGAAGAGTCACCAAGATGACGTTGCTCGACAAGTAATCGATGATCTCTGCTTGCTTTTCTTAACTGCTTTAAAACGAGATCAATGTATCCCAACATCTCACCATTCTCCAACATTCTAACACGTTCTCGTCTTATCTCATTTCTCAAGGATGATCCTATCTTCTTCCTTAAACCTAACTCATGCCTACGACGTTCCAATGAAGAAATTTGACGAAAACAACATTGCTCTTTTTGATCTTCTTGTTCTATTCGATACAAGTATTCTTCTTCTTCTTCTTCTTCTTCTTCTTCTTCTTCTTCTTCTTCTTCTTCTTCTTCTTCTTCTTCTTCTTCTTCTTCNTTCTTCTTCTTCTTCTTCTTCTTCTTCTTGAATACGACGAGAAGTCTCGAAGATGGCACTTCTCGTGCGTCGTCGATGGTTCTAGTTCGGATAGACCCCCTGGCCTCATACGTGCGTTGCTAACGTTCCCACTGCCGAAGTACGCTTTACGGTCGCAACTCCACCGTTTGGTCCTCCGGTTATATAATGCGCTGACAATGGCGCCTGTAAATAAAAAATAAATTTGATGTGTTATAACTAAAATATACATATTTTTATTTCATGGTAATTTTTTACTTTTACACACAATATTTTCATATATTGTTATTTGAAATTCTTACAAACGGTAAGTTTGAAAATAAAATAAAGAAAATGATAAATACTATTGTCATAAATAAATACTCAAGTTATATACAAATTTGATAGATATACTTTTTATAAAATTACCTTATAAATTATAAAATATACATACAGTACTAAAGTGTTCCTTCTAGTATAATTTATTTTATTTTCTTGTATTTCTTTGAACTTTAGAAGAAGAAAAAACGAGAGAAAAAGAGGGAAATGGGTAGTAAAGGGTCGCAAGCGCGCGCACGTACACGTCGACGCTTCCCATCGAATTGAATTATTCGCGCGAAGAACGAGAACCATCTACGTCGTCTGTTTTATGCGGCTCGCGTTTATCCGTCTCGACTTTTTTCTTACCGAATCCAGAAAAAGAAGTTACCTAGCGATCGTGTCACCGGTTGTTTGGAAGTGACTCTCTCTGATTGCATTAAATTTCAAAGGAGTATACGTGCTGAGTCTTACACGTGTTACAAGTTTGCCAAATTGGAGTATACGTTGGTAATCATACTTTTTGTCGTTAACTAATTTTTCCCTACGTGTTGTTGAATTGAATAAACTTATTTTTAACTCTTATAAAATGTTTATCATGAAATTTTTGTAAACTCATATAAATATATCTATTTTTACACACACACGGTTATTATAATTATTATTATATAAATTTAAAGTATTTATATTAAATCGCAAATGAATAAAGAAGATAGAATAATAAAGTGGGCTAAAAAAGGGAACTTAAATCCTTTGTTCATACGTTGTTAATAAGCTGAGAGTATAGAAAAAAAGTATTCTAAAGAAATCTTACCTGTGGTCCAGCACCATTCAAGGTGTTTAAGCTATTCATCCTCATCGCTTGAGTATATGGTGGCGGAGCTGGCGTGACTCCGGGCACTGCAGTATGTGGCGCGTGCCTCAGCTGTTCAGCTGCTGACATCCTGTTATGAGTAATAATCCTTGCGATTAGTTATCGATTCTACAAGCCCAAAATAATGAGATTATATTGTTGGACTAAGTGGGAGAAAGCTACGACGACGAGCATAAGATGACCGGGATAAACTTTACCACGAATGACATCCATTAACGAGCGAGCATATTGCATAATTGATATTAACAAAGAGTTTTACGTGAGTTTCATCGACGCGTTGTCTTAAATCGGTTTCCTGTTCGAACTATGGAGACGTTTGCTTCCATTATCGGCTAAAGTACTCCACCGTGTAAAGACGAGAAAAGTTTGACATATATGTATATAAATGTATACATACGTTTTATACATATGTATGTACACTATATATTAATGAGTATGTAAAAGTAACATACTTGTAAATATATTTTCCATCAAATTTCAACTCAAGAACTTTCTCAATATTGATTAAATAAGACAATAACAGTTTAAATCAATATATTGAAGACCGAGTTATTGTTGATATATTGTAGAAAAGGTCTTTAAGTTTTACCTGAGATAAGGGTTGCCATAGGTCGCGGAAAAACGTGGATCGATGACCGGCGTCGTTTGTGGAGTGGATGTTCCCAAGTTCGCCGAGCTCAGTCCAATTTTCTTCGATGCGAGGATTCCACCGGATGGTATCCTGCTCAGGGATTCCCGTGACGCTCCCATTCCTTGCGTTGTTGGTGGCATGTAGTCCCGCGTGTAATCCACGTATGGCACATAACCGTTATTGTTGCTACCGTCCTATGTTGCATAAGTCAATGCGTTCGAATAATTAGACTGAGCTTGATTTACATACGAAAGGATTCTATCGATAACGTTTATGCTTGTTCCAACCATGAATAAATATAATTAAGACTGATTTGGGATTGTATATATTGTATTAAAAATAAATAGAAAATATTGAGAATAATTGTCAAATGAATATTTTTTTAAAGACTTACGTTATTTTTTGGTGGAAAGGATGGTTCCGTGTAGTCTGCGCTATAACGGAAACCAAGAGGATTAGGAACAGGTCCAGCAAGTGCCAATGCATTCACTCCTCGAGTACTTCCTTCGCCTTCACTGTCAAGTGCTGTAACGCTTTCTGCATTGCTAACGCTGGAACCCGCTCGTATGTCTGCTTTGACATCTGAGAGATTGCTGCTTCTATCGCTTTCGCGATAACGATCAGCATTCGAGTCTGTTTCTTCTATATTTCCACAAGGTATAAGTATGAATATGTATATATTTATATGGATATACAAAGTAAAGGAAAATAACAAAATGTTAAACACTAATAATAATAATAATACTCACGCATATCAGTTTCTTGCGTTTGTGCCGTCCTAGGTCGTGGTTGCTTAATACGATCACGACATTGTAGAATGAGTAGAACAATAATGCCAACCAGGATCAAGCAAACAACGAGTCCAACGATGATGAGAATCATTTGCCAATCGACTGGAATCAACGCTAAGCGTCACGCCTAGTTAAAATCTTGCGTGTCAACTCGCAAACGTATGTATTGTATTGTATTGTATTGTATGCATACTATCTGTGTTATCTGTTTTGTTTTATCAATTGTTTTATGACCCCAAGAGACGAACAAAAACTCGAAAATGTTCAAACTTTAGACTTTGAAATGTTGGAAAGTTCTCTTCTAACCTGGAGAATCGTTGATATCGCGTTTTTAATATAACCGTCCTTGTAAAAGGTAATAATCGTTGCTACCCAATACACTTTGAAAAAAGACCGGAGAGAGAACAACGTTCTATTACAACGATTTATAAAATTTTTGATGTCGGGGTGAGGTAGGATAGGAACGAGTTACGTTACTAGCGAGTGAAAGAGGTCGAGTATAAAATGAACTTACTGTGTGCTGTCAGCTTGATTATGACAGAATCCGTGCCGTAGCTGTTCGTCACCGTACAGTTGTAATCCCCGAAATACGCGGATACTGGATCGTCCAACGTGACGGTGCTGACGACTCTCTCCGGCGTATATTCTTCCTGAACGTAGAACGGCGTATTGTTCAACGAGAAATTGAGCTCACGACCGGCAAAACTCCATACTACGGATTCCGCTTTTGGTACTGATATCGCAGTGCATTTTACCTGTGAAAAATCAATGAGAAACGATAGAAAAAAAAAAGAATAAAAGTAAGGATTAAGTATCGGGTTTAAAGGGCTAACGCAAAATAAAAAGGTTTATAAGACATCCGTCTTACTTTTTCTATCAATGTGAGAAGAAAAAAAGTTAGCATCATCGAAAAATCTACCGTCACAGAATCCTGACCTGGATTCTATTCTATCGATGACAAACGATTTACTTTATACGTCAGGGATATGAAAATTCGAACGATTCAATATGTAAGTTATAAAGCTTTGATAGTTTTCTTTTTTTTTGTAGAAAAATAAAATCATTCGAAGTCTCTATCTTATAATTGATGATTTAATAAGAAAATAATATCGTGTCAATTTAAGAGTTATTAAATGGACAAGGAGGAAACAAACGTTCTTGATAAATTGAACGATTTCTCTCTCTTTTAATAAAGAAAATCAAGAAAAATCGTGAAATTCCGAAGAATAAAAATTACCTTGACCACTCCTTCGTCCGGCACGTACTGAATCCTCTGCGACACTATGCTAGGTGGTCCACGAATAAAAATGTTGGCTGAACCTGTCAGTAAAGGAAAACCTGGTACGAGAGCCTTGCAAAAATAACGTCCTGATGTCTCAGGACTGACGAAGACGCTTATATTTGGGCTTCTGGCTACCACGTGTTCCGAATCCTCATGGTACCATAGAATCTCGGGTGTGGGATTTCCATCAACGTCGCACTGTAAGATTTCTGTTGCACTGTAATGTGTTTCTACGGATACGGGTGGATGTCGAAATTGTGGTCCATCTGTATGAAAAAAAAAAACAAACGAAATAAAACCACCCCACCCGAAAGATTAATACCCTTTTTTTATTATCCATATGAACCACGAACAATTTTCACGCTAGTTTTTAAATTAAGAATGTACAAACTAAGGCGTGAATTTTCATAATTTCTCCATTTAAACTGTGCTAACTTTACGACCCTCTTTTTTTCATTTTCTTTGTTTCAAACCATAGTCACTGCACAGGTCCCGTTTTTACTACTTAAGGTAATTTCTAGAGTGCGTCGAGCGGGCACGACGGTAAAAATGATTTCGTCTCCGGAGTCGAATTTAAAGTTTCCGCTCGTAAACGTGAAAAGAAGGCTTCATGTGTATACTCTGTGTCCCGGTTATGTTCATACACAAGTATATACACGTGGGGATATATATATATATATAAACGATCTCTGTGTAGATTTACGTGTATTATACTCACATGTTATATCTAGCGTCTCAGTTTCTTCGCTTTTGCCGACATCGTTATGAACTTCACACTTTACGATCGCATCGTGAAGATCTCGCGTCGCGTTGTGAATGATCATTTCCGTCGTGTAATCTCCGATGACCTTTTTCTCGTTGATAAACCACCTAAAGAGATGAAAGAAAACAAAGAATGATCGATAACGAGAAGAATCTTCGTATTTTACTCATTTTTTTTCATTTTATCGTTTTTTTTTTATTTCTTATGTATATTCTTTTTCTTCAAATAGGATATACAACATTTTTTTCGTTTTCGAATAAATCTGTTCTATCGTGCGAACAGGACAACTGTTTCCATTATCTATCTATTTCTTCTTATCACTTTGAAATGTTACAAAATAATATGAGAAAAAAGAACAATATAAAACGAAGGAAAAATATCGATCGAATCGAAAAAGAAACGATATTTTCGAGTGGAAGACGTTTATTCTTCTTACACGATCACCAAGAAAATCATCTCATCGTTTCAAATGATAATAAACGAAATGGCTTGGACATAGTCGAGTCTTTTCTTTTTCATTCTTCTTTTCCTTCTCTCATTCTGTACCTTATCCATTCATTCATTCTCTCTCTCTCTCTTCTTCTTTCCATCTATCCGTCTTTCTCATTTTAGAATCGTACTCGGTTACGATAAAAGGACAGAAACTGAAGTCGTACTCGAACGACTTAGCTGATTCGTGTCCCTCTTAAATGGTACGATGTGTACCAACACATTCAGGAGGCACACAATAGAATCGATTTTATCGGACTCGTACCGCGAACGGTTTAAAAGCCAAAAGAGCTACCAATAAATGATGACGTTGACAATGATTGGGATTCGAAAATTCAACGAACGAATTGTACAACCGTACTTTCCAAAAGAGAGAAATGTCTTCTTCTTCCAAAGAAATTCGACATTATGGTGAAACGGATCGTTGATCACAGTCTTAGCCCTTAACCTTACGAACGAATGAAGGCTATTTCATGAAGGGAGAGACGAAAAGATATCTTTTTCGGAAGTTCGTCGATACCAATAGATAGAAGAGCAGTTAAGAAAGAAGAGGAAGAAGAAAAAGAAGAAGAAGAAGCTATCAGCAAAATGTAAAATAGATTAGAACGGAAAATGTATTCGCAACCGAGTTCAATGAGCCATTCCCTTTAAAACGATCTTCTTTTTTTTCTCCTGGACTTGTCAGAAGGGTTTGTTAAAAGAGACGGTAATCCGATCGTTCAGTTCGCTTCCTTAAAATAGTAATCCGATCGCTTATGCCGGCTTTCATTCATGACAGAACTGATCTATCCCAAGCGAAGCAGATACAATAGATCCTTGTTAAAAGAATATTTTTAAGCGCTTTTGTAATCCTATTTAATAAAATTTACGCCTACGTAATTATTTATCTTTTCTTTTTTCCCCTTTTTTAACAAAAAAAAAAAACATATTAACACGATATTAAAAAAACAGCATATGATTACTTTCGTTTCGAGAACAAAAATGTCGTCGTGGTGATCTTTACGAAAAAAAAAATAACAAGTAAAATATAAGCTATGAAACATTTAGAAAATGTCTGGCCGGGGAAGGAGGCCTTAACGATCGATCACAATTTCCAGATCCGGAAAGAGGGAGAGAGCTGACGCGTCGCCGGAGACAATGAAATCAAGACGCAAAAGGTGTGTCGTGCTAAAGACCGTACTTATTAGAAAAGGGAAGGCTTCTTCGTGAACGTGTCCTAAAAACTTGAACGATTATATGGGTCAAACAAGGCTCGATGTGCGTACTGGACGTTCCGGATATCTAACGAATTTAATCCCTTATCCTCATTATAACAATATTAATTAACTTTTTATTGTTTTTTTTTTTGTATATAATTAATTAAAAGTAATATATTATTAAACGATTCTAACAATTTGACATACTTATATAATAATAAATATAATAATAATAATAATAATAATAATAATAAATACGTTGAAATTATTAAGCATTTGTACCATCTTTTTCCAATTTTTTTTCTTCAAAATTTGTAATCATCTTTAACAATAAATCATTTATGTCTAATGTAAGAAAATCATAAAAGGTATAGAAATATAGAAAAATTGTAAAAATTGCCGCGGGCTATCGTTTTGCGGACGCACGCTATAGCGCGCGCACGATCTGCGCGCGCATACGTTGTCCTGAATTTGACATTGTCCTCTTTGCAGACGGATATCGATCATTCGTTCTATTTTGCGTTCTCTGGTTTTGGTCTTTGTCAGACTCGTGAAGTGACCTCTGCTATTAAGAACAACAACGTAGTCTTCCTACACGAGACCAGGTAAAACCTGAATAGAATTCATCCTTGTTGTGAATAACCACAAACACTCACCTGTATTCCATATCTGGGGGGTTGCCCTCGGCGCGACATTTGAACCTCAACTCTGTTCCCTCTACGATACGTTTCTTATCCGATACTCCAGAACCACGGATTTTTAGTGAAACCTTCGGTGCGTATCGTACCTGAAAAATAATTTGTTTTATTTATTTATTTTTCAATAAAACATTTTATTACTTTAAATTGGCTATGTAATTTTGCAGATATTATTATTATTATTATTATTATTATTATTATTATTATTATTATTATTATTATTATTATTATATGTATTCTGTATGTAATTATGCATAAGTCTGACATTTTATCTCAATTTCGTTTTCAAAAAATGTATTTGCTTTAGTCAACTTTAGTTTGCTGTGCTTGAGTTGTGACACCGAGTTCAATTCGACGTTGGACTTGTGAAAGGAATTTTATTAAGGGATTTCGCGAGATGGGACTCGAGACTTTCGACTCGTTTTACTCGAGATCAAATTCTCTATCCAGATAGAGAATAGAGAAAGAAAGGAAGTAAGAAAAAAAGAAAGAGAGAGAGAGAGAGAGAGAGAGAGAAAGAGATAACAAGAGAAGCGAGAGAGATGAACATTTTCAAAAGTTTTTCTCTTCTTTTATCTCTCAATGCAAATCGAGACAATCGAAAAATGGTAACTTTATTGTATAGTTTGGTATAACTGCTATTGCGAATAAAATGTTTTCTTTTCTTTCTTTTTCTTTATATCTATTTATTTAAAAAGAGTTAAATTTACTGTTTCTTTTTTTAATTTAATCGAACGATAAATACATACACATACGTATATAAGATATTTTATACGTATCGAAAATGTAGTCGAGTTTCGAGTATAAGAATGATTCTCACTTAATGTCTAACATCTTTGGTACAAAGTAAGTTGATCGGAAACAATAGGTCAAGCTCGGACGGACGATCTTGTCTCACAAGTATCACCTTTCTTCGATGGGAATATTCGTGAAAACTTTTAGTCAGTGAACATTTTACATATACCTATAAAAAAGTGATACGAATTGTGGTATACTATCTTCTCTAGGATCAGAAACTTTACGAGAGATTTGTTTCACGAGAGAAATAGAGAAAGAGAAAAATCTAGAGAAAGAGAGAAAGACACTTTCTTTTAACACGGAACAAGACCATCCAGACTACGTAGAAAATTTTCAAAAGTTCCCATCTTACGATCTTATCGTACATAAATTTTGACGACGACACACGGAAGAAAGTAATTTCGCTCTACCAAGAAAAGAGTATTTCCTTGGGGCTCGCGACGGCACTCATTCTCTCGTCTCTCGTCTCTCTCTCTCTGACTCTTTCCCCTGTTTCCCGTTTGCGGTAATATTTCCTATCTTTTGCAAAACGACGAGCGAGAGAGATCTTTTTCGATAGTATACGTTGCTGGATACTATCTGGGTGTTTTGATTAAATCAATTTTTCTTTATTGAGGATCTAAATTAATAAAATGTTTCTCAATATTTTTAAGAATTTAACTCGATAAATAATCATCGTGAGTTAATCTCAATTGATAAATTAAGATAACCAAACGTTTATCTAATATCCAAAGTAAAGAATATTCCAAAAGGAAAGTTAGTAAAGTTCGTGCTCGTAATCAATCTATTGTCTAAGAAAAAGGGGAAAGAGAAAAAAGGTAAAAGAAAAGAAAAGTAAAGAAAAGAAAAACAACATAAAATGGTAACGAAGGAAGGAACGAAATACGTAGTCAAAAGGTAAAAAGTTACGCCGCCGGCAATAGACGATTATAACGCGAACCACTTCTCAAGAAACGACGTTAATTATTCTTCGCCTCGTTAATGCTGGCCGGCTTCTATTCAACAAGAAGGTCGTGTTAACTTTGCCCTCCGGCCACCGTACGAAAAGCCAAACAGTACTTTTCCTTTTCCCGTTTAGATTTTAACTTCACCCGTCGTTGGTCTCCGTTGTAAAATAATAAAATAATAATAATAATAATAATAATAATAATAATAATAATAATAATAATAACAATGAAATAGAATTATACAAATAAACAAAATTTATTTCGATCGAAATGAAATTTTCTTAATGAAATAGTCGACTTACCTCGACACGTAACTTGGCACTTTGCGGTGTCCGATCAGCCGCGTTTTGACTTTGGCAGGTAAAGGTGGTATTGTCGTGTTCCTTGCGTGGCATCACTTTCAAAATCGATTTAACCGTGTACAAAGGACCACCGTCGAAGAGTTCCTTGGTAGTTTCTATACCTCTATGCTGCACATTGCCTCGCCCATCTATCCATGTGATCTGTATCAAAGATTTTCCGAAGATAAGTATCGGATAGATAAACGATTTAACCGTTTGAGTCCCAGACGGTATTGAAAAAACACTGTCGAAGAATCCCAAACAGCGCGATCGCGCTTTTTCTAAATGAGTAAGAGAAGACCCAAGCAGCGCGATAGCGCTACTTGTAAGCATTTGTTATATATATATGAGCGCACCGTCAGTTGTCTACAATGCTCGAAATGTACTGGGTTTTTTCAACATAAAATGTGAACAGC